GGTTAGGGTTCGGAAGTTATGGGTTGGGCCTTGTACCCCGACCCCACCCCACCCCGCCGCCATCCTAGGATTTATTCAGGATTCCTCAATGAGTTTCGTGGATTTCCCTGGGAAATCCTGGGCCCAACCAAAAGCCAACAAAAGCCAAGGAAATCCCAGGGAAAGCTACGCAAGCCCAACAGAAAGACAACAAGAATTAAATAAAGCTAAACTTTTCACAGTTCTCGGCTGGGCACGGGAAATGGAATTCACAAGGAAGTCCGCGAAATGCTGAAGCATTCCCACAGAAAGCTAACAAAAACGAGATACAGCTAACAAAGCTATACATTTCCCAGTTTTCGGTATCTGGCCAGAGAAATGCTGTAACGGCAAGGTTCCTGTTTATTCCCAAATCCGTGACGGAGAGGATCCTGGATCTTTCAAAAGCTGTAACAGAGAGGGCCCCGGGTAGCCCGGAATCTGTAATGGAGAGGACCCTGGCCCGAACAGTTCCTACACAGTACGGATATCCGTGGCATGGTACAGTTAAAACCCAACTTTAGCTCGCTGGATTATCAGCAAAGGATTTCTTTGGCTCAGTGGCCTTTCATGAAAGGACTTCTCCAGGATCTTGGAGGTTTTTGGCTGCTTCAATGGTGCTCTAGTTGTGAAAAAGCATGCTACAGACAGGTAAGTCATGCGAAAGTGGGATGTTAGACTGCAGAGCAGCTGGGGAAGCTTGTCTTGCCGCTACAGTTATGCTTCTTTCAGAGTCTCTGGCTGGCAGCTTTGGGTACGAATGTGAGGAGCTTCAATTTTGCGGGTGCATGAAATTTCGGATGTATTTCGCGAGGGTGGCATGTGGAGCAGGTGCTCTGGCTTCCAACGCTGGGGTGGCAAGGCAACGTGCAAGAGTTCGGTCGGCGCATTGCCGGTTTTGTCGAGCGTCGAACCAGGAGTCCTATGACCAGCTCCCGAACACCCAGGGCACCCTTCGTTGCACAGTGCGCAATGCACGCACAGTAGCGCTACGGCTGCAAACAGCTTGAGTTGCAGAGTGACATGGGTCCACGGTCAAGCCACAGGGTAGGCATGCTGATGCTGGCATGTGCAGATGGCATTGTGCTGGATCTGCAAAGGCACCCTTCAGCCCTTGCTTGGCCGCTAATGTGGCTCAGTGTAGTCGTTGTCTCTGTCTGGGATCCACCAAAGCCTTGCTCAGCAAGGTGCTTGACGTCCCGGCGACCTATGTGAATGAAACCAGATACTCTTTCCGACTGAACGTCACCGTGGCAGATCAGCAGGAGTGTCTGTTGCTCTTCGCGTTCAACGTTTATTCCTGCATTTGAGCCAAAAGTAGTTGTGACATACTGGAGCGCCCATGCGCGAAGTCACAGACATAAAACTTAGCGCCTGGCACGCGCGGCTTGTCCCTCCAGATCACCCATTGCGACAGCACCATAATTCTGTGCCTTGAGGAGGATGTGGCTCTCCAGCAGCCATGGACCCTGACCGTGCTGGACTGTGTGCCATTTTGTCCGCTCTGGTCCAGCAGACGTTTCAACTTCACACGGTTGGACATCTAAACTTCTGCTGCAAAACAGTGGGTTAATGAAGTCCCGCAAGGCAGAGTTTCTCTTAGTGCCATCCGTCAAAGCGGATGAACACATTTTGTGTTGATTCCTTGCAGGAAAGTGGTCAGATCTTGCATACTGGGGAGAGCCCGAGCCCGTTGCTTGGAGTTTTCTACGAGGTGGGCCGGATCTACTGCTACGTTGATATGAAATCACGACTCATGGACATGTCCGAGAGGCGCCCTGGTTTTGGGCACCAGGCTCGCTTGTCGGCCAGAGCACGTGATGGAAGCACAGGACGACAGGGCTTAAAACCCCAAAAAGGCATTGCAAGCAGCAAAGCATTCGGAGCACCGCCGCTTCGGCCCAGGACCTGAGCTGCGACTGGGCGACTGGTACATGACGGACTCTCTCCGCACTGAGCCACCACGACTTGCTGCGATGCCCGGACTTCCTTCGACATAAGTGCAAACACTCTTTGGTCCATTTGGTGGACTCGCGGACACTGCGATTCTGGCCGCGCGGATGAAGGAGACGCAGGAAGCCACCCCGCGCCTCTGCATTCGACTGCATGTCTACTCAAACGCTCTTTCCCGGAGGCCTCTACACATGCTTTGCACGCCACCGCCTACGAGTAGGCACAGAGGCGATTCCTGTACGAAGACCAGAACAGCCGCGAGCACCCTGGCTATGACCCGACCAGGACCTTGTTCTTTCAGCCGACCATGTCTTCTAGAACTTGTTCTGCTACTGTGGCTACGACGACTGCTGCGACGACTCCTACCACGACCACGATTACAAGTACGGCTGCATATGCTTCTACGACGACTCTGGGACAACCACGACAACGAGGACTGTTACCTGTACGACTACGACGAGGACTGCCGCGTCAACTACTGGTACTACGACGGCGACGACAACCGCTGCTTCTACTAGCACTGCTGTGGCTATTGCTACGACGACGACGACTACTACTACTACTACGACGATTGCTACTTCTAGTACTACGACTACTACCACTACCACGATCACTACGACTACAACGACTGCTACGACTACGACGGCGACCACGACGACGATGACTACTACTGCTACTATGACGGTGGTGTGTGTGTGTACCCTATATCAGCGCTGAGCAACTTCTGCACGTTTCGTGCGATGTTTAGCCGCAGCTTTACTGAAATGAGGCTCGACAGCTAAGCTAGGCGTCGAGTATGCTAATGTGCCTTGCAGTGTGAGCATCCTGGAGCAGGACACCATCTTGGCACTGCTTCATGCTCATTTCTGCAGCGTGCTGCGAGGTGGGCAGTGGTGGGAACGAGCGAGAAACAGATAGAAACAGTACGGAAACTAGGGGGCCTCGTCTGACGTTGTTTTGTATCACTGCAGCAGGCAAGCACACCTGGCGCGGTTACAAGCAATCGGCAGGATGTGGTGTGCAAGATAAAGTAACGGCCAGGATCATCCTGTTCCCCTCAACTGCTTGCCCAGCCTGCCTCGTCCTTCCCAAGAAGGAAGGAATTGTAAGCAACTCTGCCACACGATGGCTGTTGGCAACGGGCAACTGTCGACAATGCACCCATGCGTGACATTGAATACTACTTTGATGTAGCCTGCGGAACTTCATGAGTAAGATATGAGACATTTTTCAACGCTAAGGAACTCTGCCAGGACTCTGCCATCGTGTATAAATAGAACACAACAGCAGCAGATGTCTGAACGTGCGCTCAGTCGATTCGGGTTTGGGTTGCTTCTCCCAGTACGTCGCGAGGAAGCGAGCAAAACTCGGTAGTCCGACCATCTTCAAGTCATGTTGCAGCAGCATGTGGGGTGCCGAAACTAAGAAGTTCTTCATCATCTTGCCAGCAGCATTGCTTGGTCGGCTTGGTGTTTGGCCTTCGACAAGTTGGTGTTTCTATCTCTGAGTTCAAACAAAGCATAGCCTGGCTTGCAATATCAGGCGGGTGGCGTGCCTGCCCAGTGGCCGACGAATTAGAGCTTGCACCTTGTGAAGGCTGCTGGGTGGCTGCTTGGCATGTTCGGGGCAGATGCAACTTCAAGGCATGATGGTGACAGGTTTCAGGGGTGCCCCATTGACGAGTGCACGCGTCTTTGAACACCGCAATGTATGCTGAGCTACTGTTTCAGCGGGGCTGCAAATCAGGTTGTGTCATTTGAAGGGTATCTCTGCTGCGCAGCAACTGTCCCACACCCGTCATGTATCTATCCCTTTTGCGCAATGATCCTGAACAGCAGGGTGACCCGATTTCTTAGGAAGCAGAGGAGTGGATTGCGGCTGTGCTTTCCCGATGGAGAGACGGCTGTGGCTTCACCGCTTGGCATCGCTTGGCCGCCGCGGAGTGAAAGTCTCTCTTGTCTGGGTGTTGGCTCATAGCCATCTCGAGCGCAGCTGTGTGCTTTCCTCAAACCCTAGGCGATGCGCAGGACCGTGGGGCAGGGTCTCACGCACTGTTGTGACAAATGCTTGACATTCTTTGCACTTTCGCTTGTACAATCTTTGCGTCCGTAGCCATTTTGGCTCAGGCCCGGCCGGATCCTACCATTTTGCCTTTAGCTTTAGCAGCCCCACCCAGCTTTTGCGCAGGCAAGGCCGAGATTTTGGATTTTTCAAACATCACAGTGCTCTGAGATTTTGTTTTTTTTGGAGCAGCGAATATTTCAGAGAGATTCAGAGAGCCCGCCTTAGACTCAAGAACACCACGTGGAACCGGAGAGCGTACTTTGTTGATTCCCTATCTTTTGCAGACCTCGTTGTGCCGAGACACTCAATGTTTCAAGTTCATGCTGTTCGAGCCCGGTTTTGGTCCTGGGCTGCTTCCTCAGAACTCCGTTGCAGCTCATGTAAATCTTGCCTTTCCCGTGGGGGTCAGGTCAGAGATGCAGCCGATTCGTGGACATGCGGATTCTACAGTTGGTGCTGTGACCCTGTCCCTGTCACAGAGGTATCTTGTTGCGTCCAGTTGACATCAAAAAATAGCACATCCCGCGCAGACGTAGCGCGATGAGGCCACTCACGTGCGCTACGATGACGTGGTTGTTGCCTGAGGCAGGTTGTCTCGGGGGTCCGCGACACGTGCGGGTGTGTGACCTGGACGTGAATCCGGGAGCACAAACCGTCTGCTCGCTGAACCTTGCCGTTTTTGGTGATCTCCCTCCCTCTCTCTCTCTTTGTCTTGCGAGGCCGACATTGACGCCACGGCGTTTGCTCCGGAGTTTCGCCGGAGATCAGGCACATCAATGTTCATGCTCGCTCGTGCAAGCACGGGCCCTTGCCATGAAATGCGCTGACCAGGTGCAGCACTTCAGCGAAGCACAAGGAGGCCCCCGAAAGCTTCGCAGGAGAAAGGCAGAAGCAGCCGGTCAGCTCTGGCTTCGGCGAGCGGATGTATTTTCAGGATTTTTCAGGCCCACTGTCATCCTCGCGACATGTGGGTCGCCTGCAAAGCAGTCCTCTTTCACCACTGTAGCGCGGTGGACTCAGCCGGTTGCTTTGGCATGCACTTGACCGATGCGGTCGCGATCGATGCCATGCTACGACACCTCGCAGCTCGTGAGGAGATCCTCCAGAAGGCAGTGCAGGACTTGCAGCCCGTGGTGATGTCCGTAAGTCGAGACACTTCGTGGAAGAAGGATCTCAGCAGCGAGTCATCTCTGGATGAAGTCCGTGCGGCAGCGAATCAGCTCGCAAAGGTGAAGCTGAAAGGAGCTCCATTTGCGAATTCTTTAGAGACCTTCACCGTGGAAGCGGACGAGATGCAGTCCCTGATCGAAGCGTGCCGGACGTCAGCCTTTTGCCAACACGACTTGACAGCATCCCCAAAAGAGTCCGGGGACACCTTGTGCTCGCAGGCTCGCCAGCTGCTTCGTGATGTCGTGATGGACGATTGATTTTCTCGGAGCAGTGCTTCGTGCTGGCCTTGATGCTTGGGGAAAAAATGAGGCAAAGCGAAGGCGAGTAAGCTAGTGGAGGACATCAGTGCATCGCTTGCCGGCAAGCGAGACGGTGTCGAGCAGGGCGACATCCAACCGGTGTTGTAAAAAGCCGCCGAGAACATCATGGGCACGAGGGTTGGGACATAGTGAACTTTCGAGAAAACTTGTCTGGCCTAGTAGTGAAGTGAGTCTTGTGGCCACGGCTGAGCCGTTTCACGAAACCTGCGACCGGTTCTTGCGGGCTGGCCCGTCACATAACACATGCAGCTTGACACTCGAAGCCCATGACAGGAAATCTTGACTTGGCATGCCGTTGAGCGCTTAGGATAAGTTTACATGTAGTGTACCCCCCTTGGGCACAGCCAGCCGACAGTGGCAGGGATACAGCTCGACCGAGCGAGGAAAATGAAGACCTTCCCCGTGCACCATGAGGCCGACTGGAGGTGCATCTCGATGTTCGCAGTCGTGGGCATGTGCATTTTGAATCGAGGTTATAACCGTAGGTGCACATCATTCCATTTCGTCCACCAAGCAGGGCTCCGCCGAGATCGGAGGTTTGGCTAGACGACCTCGTTAGGTCCGTTTCTTTCCACTTAGACTTGTTGCTTTCTGCAATCTGCTGCCTTTGTCTTCCTTAGACCTAAATCTCCCCCTCTGGAACCTCAGCGTCGAGAGCTGATGACGGTCACAGAGGCTCCCGAAAGGGCCGCAGCTTTAGCTGCAGGTCGAACCCTACCTGCCTACAACCCTTGCGCTGCGGCTCCGCCATGATCTTGCACTAGCAGCACAGCCAGATATCTGATCTTCTTTCGATAGGCATGATATCCAGCTTGGGCACGTTGGGTAGATAACGATGGGATGCCTATCTGAAACAGCAGTGACGGGATGTCAGCTCCCTCTTGTTGCGCACAAGATCTGCCTGAGCCATGACCAGTCTTCGCCCCATGATGGTGGAAGACTTGCTTCATTTCAATGCGGCTGAGCTTTTGTTGTCAGGCATGTTGCCAGTGCCAGCAATGCAATTTGTGAACGGTGGCACTGTGATGGCCTCTTCAGTCTTTGCTAGCAGTAGTGTCCTGGAATGTGAAGGACTGCAACTTGTAGAGGACATGGATCGGTCGGCGTGTTTGTGGTGCATTTGTGGTTTGTAAGGAGAACAGCATCAACTGGGCTTTCTCTGCTAGCTGCTTTTGATGACTGGTTTAGGGACGTTGCAAGCGCAGTTGTGTCTCCGGCTCCTCCCCCCGGGGTGTGAAGATGTTGTTGGGATACACACCTTTCTCTTCGTGATCGTCAGGCCCGACACAGGGTATTGGGGGGACCTTGTCATGTCATTGCGAAACACAGTGCAGAAGAAGAGGACATGTACATCTTTGGGCTTGTTGCTGAGGCGGTAAATCTAGATACTTGGACGGAGACATTCAACATGAACTTCTACTTCAGCTACCTCACGTGCTGGCCGGAATGCTGCGCCGTTGCGGAAGCTATTGATGGCAGCATCGCTGGGTACATTATTGGAAAGGTCGAGGGTTCGGGCCATGAGCTGCTTGGCTCAGCATCTCTGCAAAACGACCGAGGTAGCTGCAACAACTTGGGGAAACTTGAGGATACTGGAAGCTTTTGTGCTGAGGTGGCATGGCCACGTCTCAGCTATCTCTGTCGCGCCAGAGTTCCGCCGGACCGGCGATGCTCGACTTAACTGACAGCACAGAATTCAATCATGTTTCGCCGGACAAGAGGCGCAGTATGTGGAAGGCATGAGGAGGTGGTTTCGATTCCGGTGCTTATGGGCTAGACGGCTAGACAGTACGCCGGTATGGGAGGAAGCAGCCATTCTGTGCCCGGCTGAGGTAGCCAACAGGTTAATGGAGTACCTGGAAGAGGCCGAGTATGGAGCAGGAAAGCCTTCTTTAGCGGAGATCGTCTCGGGCTGAGACTAGGACTAGGAGCAGCGTTCGCAATCCCGATCTGCTCACCAATCGGATGCAGATCTCGTCGTCCAATCTTGAGAGGTTGCGTGTAATGAGTGTCTCACTGTGAGAACATGGCGACAGGTGAGTGAAAAGGTGCACGACTGCTATTTTGTCGACCTTTTCGTGCGGCCTACAAACACTGCCGCAATCAAGTTCTACGAGCCTTGGCCTGCACAGAAAGGGCTTTCTAAACGAGTCGAGAGGTGCTGCAAACTCCACAGCAGACGTCAGTGCATGTCCTGAGACGGCAGGAAGGACTGGGGTACGTTGTTTATCGAACCGTGACGGGTTACTACTCTGGCGACGAGGACAACCGGGTTGCGCATTACAATGCAAGTCCCTTCGGGTTAACGGCTTCGACGCAGGACGCGTATGACATGAGAAAGCCTCTACCGCGAGTACCTGGGACAAGATTTTGGAATGTGCACCCTGCTGTGCCGTTGCCGCTGGAGCTGCGTTCTCGACCCTTCAGGATGTCAATCGCAAGTCGGTTGCGAACGCCGGCTTTCGGATTTCCCCCGAAGCCCTCCATGCCAGCACGAGTTGAGGCGCGATGAACGGTTGAAAAGGCCTTCCGGCTTCCGTCGGTCATGCACGGACTCGCAGCCGGAGGCGTTGGACACTGCGCGCTTAGCTCCAAAAGCGTGCAGCAGCAAGTGGCAAGCAGCAAGGGGATGCCCGATGACGCCAGTGCCCACTCTCGAATTGCTTTAGGCCATTTCTGGCTCTTGGTCAACTAATTAGCAGTTAGCATAAGAGAATGCCGTAGGTTTCTGCAGGATCCTCATGCCAAGACAGTATTGTGGCCAAAGGTCCCTGGCAACGGAGGAATCGATACCAGCCCGAAGTCTCAACGCAGTCTTTTCCTGAGGTTATTTTGTTGTTGCACCGCATTCGACTTTGTGCAGCTCCCTTGCATGGCACTGAAAGTTGGACATTAACAGTAGCATGTAGCAACTGCATGGCTGATGTTGGCGAAATTGCTTTGCCGCCCACGCCCACCAAAGCTGGTGACCTGCAGCTTGCAAGACAACTTGCTTTTGACAAAGCAGAAGCAGTACTCGTTGTGAACAAAGCATTGCAGAGCTTGCCTCTTTGATCTTCCCAAGGTCCTTCCAGCGATTCTCCCGGTTTAATCGGGATGCATCAGCTGCTCAGCTTCGAAGATCTGGGACGAATCGTTGCTATTTCATCGGCCCTGAGGCTTGGATCGCGGTTGCTGATGTGGCGCTCTGGGTTTCCGCGCAATGCGCTGCAGGGCTTCGGGGGGAAGGACGGCGCCATGCGCCCCATGGGCTACATGCACACAGTCCAGCCGGTTGAGTCTCCTCCAAGCCTCTCTCCTGCACACATTGAAACTGCCTCGCTGCCTGGAGCCGCCTTCAACTCTCCCCGCCGCGCAGCAACAGGTCTAGCAGCGTTTTGCATAGCGCCCTGCTCACCTTTCCCCCAAGCTCCGAGTACCTCGACATTGCGATCAGTCCTTGCATCCAGAGCTTGCCTCGCAATCGCCCTGAAATCTGGCGCTGCCTTGTGACAGCTGTTGCGGAACAACAGCTGCCCAAGAGCCCACCTCACCTGCAAGATGCCTCAGCCGCCACGGTAGATTCAGGAGCAGAAGGCTCCATCATCAATTGCTGGAGCTGCGGGTGCTCGTCGGGGGAGGCCTTTCGGAAGCACAACGTGACTCCTACAGATGCCTTCTGCAGGGCCTGCCCGCCAGTTTTGGGTTGCCCCCACAATCGCCATGCAAGGACCCATGCTAAGAGTGTTGGGTGAGGCATGTGCAGTGGTGCTCCATGTTTTACATTCCTGTCTTGGTTGAAGGGTCTGTACATGTGCGGAGCACGTATGCAGTGTAGGGCCCGTTACCCAAATGCATTGCCAAGGAAGTTTACTATCTGAGCGTCCTGGCTGCACTTGTTTTGACCTCTGCCGGAGATGCTGATAAATACTGCTGGAAGGAGACTGTCCGCCACCTCCCCTCTCGAAGCCCAGTAGCTTTGTGATTTGCTGTATGTTTTGCAGGATGCTACTGCTGGGGCCTGTGCTGTGAGAGCGATGACAGCCGTTGCCGGTTATAATTTATAGTTACACCGCAGGCATGATCTGGCATCGAACGCTGGCATCGATCTTTCCAGAGACAGGCCAGCTAGCCTGAGTCATTTGCCAGGTCTTGCACCTGTTTATGATGGGAGAAGCAAGGATTGGTGTATGGGCTCCGACCTCTGTTCGGGTGCAGAGCTTGCAAAACGACAGGTGGCTCAGCCACCCTGCATGGATTCGTTGGTAAGTTGGGTAAGGAGGCTAATTCGCATTTCCCCCGGCAGACCCAGCCCTCCAGCTCCAGCCCTCCAGCCTTCCAGCCTTCCAGCCTTCAGCCCAGCCCAGCCTTCCAGCCCTCCAGCCCTCCAGCCCTCCAGCCCTCCAGCCTTCCAGCCTTCCTCTCCAGCCCTCCAGCCCTCCAGCCTCAGAAGAGCTGGACAAGCTCGTCAGGAGTGCGTGAAACTCCAAACCCGGCTGTGATTAAGTGTGTGTGTGTGTGTGTGTGTGCTGAGAATCTGTCGAGCATTAGCCGAATGTGGCAATCCACTTGGCTATCGCATGTGGCTGGAGAGGACTGCGGCTGTTGGGCACAGACCTTTCCGAGGAGAAGATCGCGACTGCATGCAAAGGAGAGTATCCCTGGTACTCATTGAAGGTCCCTTGCAAGGGTCCTTTGCAGATTCTCTTCGCATCTGTTTCCGGTCAGGGCCTGCCACTGGACTGGTGCGAGTCTTGGAGGCAAAACATCCCACAGTTTTGCGGTTCGTCCTTGACCTGACGCATCTAAGGAGCAATTCTTCGACACTCGCCTTCCTTGGCCGATGTGGTTTAGAGCTGTGTGCCTGTGTATATACATATATACATATAGACATACAGACGTAGTGTACATATCTACATATAAATAAATCAATATATATATATATATATGTATGTGTGTCGGCTTGGTATATACACAAACATGTACAATCTTGAAAACATGCTGTTGCACTATTGAGGGAGTTGAAGAGTCTCTCGATTTGGCCTCTGTGAACTCCGTAGCAGGAGGGCCAGCCAGGTCTCGCTGGACAAACATTTGAAACGAATCTTACCTATGCAGCATATATGCACATGTACAGGCCTGGGAATCGACATGCACAGTTCTTGACAAAACGCCCCTGCTGGCTCGGACTGCGATGCGGGGGTGCTTCAAGATCGGATGTCTGCAGGAGTCTCCTGCCACTTCGACTCGAGGCGGCTTTGTGCGCACAACGTGCCTGATGTGTTTCATGCGGAGACGGAGTGGTTTGTGGGATCTTGTTGGGCCTGTGAGGGCTCCGGCCTCGGGCGACGGCGCGCCTGCAAGCAGCGCGAGCCTTCGCCAGTCAGGCAAAGCTGCAGCCTCTTTTTGCTGGGAGCGCTTTGGAAGCCCTTACGTCAGGGTACCGAAGCACTCTACAGAGTCAAGGACAAGAGTGACAGTGCGGGACCTGGTCAGGATGCCGCAATTCCCAGCTGGGCTGTGCTGTTCTCAGGTGACCTGCGCACAGATGTGGAGTTCCTGTGCCAGGACGCGGCCGAGAATCCAAAGTTGGACATCGAACAGTATTGCTTGTCTGCGCTCATGTTGCTCGGGCACTTGCCGCACGAGTCGCCCACTCATGCAGGTCAGTGATTGCAAGATGAGCAAGTGAGTTGCAACAGGACGTAACAGAAGAAATGCCGGAGGGCCCTTTCGACGTCATCCTCTCAAGATATGCTGCATCACAGTTGCACCCAGGGGCTCTGGTAGGCGGATGCCTTCGACTTTGGCGCATTTAGGTCGCAGCCAACCTGCTTCAGCATTTGGACCATTGTCGCGCTTAGTCGCGGCGATCAGCAGTGCGCAGAATGGATGCGTTTCGTATCCGAGGTTTGCCTGTATCTACAGGGCGAGCAGCGAGCTCACGTCCTGGCCCAGATGGTCGAAAGGTGCACTGGGGGAAGACCAAGCGAACTCCGGAACTGTTCTTGGATCCTGTGCTTCGATGGGCAGTCGCAAGCAGACTTAGCCGCTTAGCCGAAGCTTCCTGTGACGGCAGGCTTCGCCCGGGAGGTTTCCTAGTGATTGGGGGCAAGGACTTGGCAACGTGCCCTTCCTTGATGTCCCTGTCAAAACGGAGAGAGGACCATTTGCCAAATGGCTTCTGCGAGAAGAACGGTCTCATCGAGGTGGATTACCGGGCTGAGGAGATTGGCCTCGGCGACGTGAGGCGCCTGTCGCCTTTCCCACCCGCCGCACCCACTTCGCTCCTGCTTCGCCATGCCTTTTGCTTGGTACTCCTGTCTTTGAGAGGTGCATTTTTCAGAAGTCTGGCGGCGCTGCGCTCGACTCTAAAGCAGGGGACAGGCGAGGAAGGGCTCCGAACCCCAGCGGCAAGACATCACACGACCTCCGTCGCAATGCGCTGCCGCTGGTGGATTATTGACTCCGAGTATGCCGAGGTGCTACTCGCAGTACGTCCGATCCCTCGGCAGCGAGCCGTACTGGGTGGCCGAGAGACGGTGCCTGGAGCGCCAGCGCTTGGCTGTCCAGATGCCGCCCGGGCTGCAACGAGCTCTCGCGCTGTGAACGCGCGCGGTGTGGTGCGAGAGCGACATCTTTTGATTCTTTTGAGAGAGTGCCGTGCGCTGCGCGGGAGCCCTGCCGAGGAGCCAGAAGAGCCGGGACCTGCTGAAGCGGGCCGTGCAGGAAGGCGCGGCCGGAACCGTGCGCAGCGCATTGGGTTGCCCGGGTGCAGCCGCCACTGCAACCCGAGGCCGGCGACACTGCGACAGCCCTTTCGTACGTGAAAGCTTCCCGGCTCATCTAAGCGCCGGATCCGCGTGAATCAGAATCTTGCTCATTTTGGCAGGCAAAGCTGGGAGATGCGAGCAGAGCCCGGTGGCCCCGGTGGAGAAGAGCCCGTCGATGCCAAAGGACCGAACGCCGCCGAGGAATCATTTTTCGAGCGATGTGACCGCGCCAGGAGGAGCGAGAGATCCGATTGCAAAGCTTCTTGCAGCGCTTGGAGAAGGCGCCGGAACTTGTGAAGAGCATGGGACATGAATTGCTTGTGTTGCCTGTGTAGTGCAGCAAAGCATTGTGTGGCAGGACCTGGCAGAACGTGGCCGCAAGTGGTGCCCTCAGCAAAGCTCTTTGCAGAGCTCATCGAGTGCAGTCTCTTCTCCTTAAAACCGGTCTTTTTCGCAAGACATTCGCGGCACGATGCCGCGAGCATCTTCATGAACCGACACCTACGTTTCGAAACCTTGAGGGATCTGGAGACTCCCATAGGAATGCTGATATGCCGAAGCCAAAGCAGCAGAATGCCCTCCTGGCAGAGCGCTCCAGCAGAAAAATGATTGCTTCATCACCGGCTCCTGCACACTCGAGCTCACGCCGTGTACGAGCACAGACATACCTTTTTGCTCCCATCCTTCTACATCTGCTGACAGCTGTTCCGGGCATTGCTCCATGGAGCAGTTTCAAGTTCTGCTGATCATTTCGATGTTTCTGATGTTGCCCTGTTTCTTGATGCTTCCACCTTGGAGTCGCCAAACCAGCACACGCCTCTTACAGAGATCACCTCGGGAAAACAGTACACTTCTTCACCATCGAGAACGTTCAAACGGACGTGTCCGATTGCCTGATCGAACCTGCAACCTCGCTAAATGAGGCGCAGCGTCCATGTTCAAAGCTGTGAATCAGCCAAGCAAGAGAAAGAACATGGCAGCCCCGATGTTCGTCCTGGCGCCGCAAGAGGCGCTCACGAAACTCAGCCGACTGAAAAAAGGAAGCACAACGTGCTCATGGAAAGCCAGGAGTATGGTCATTAAACTTCCATTCGCAGTATTGGACTTACAGACCCACAAAATGCGAACGGCTGCACGACAACAACCGAAATCTAACACTGCCGACATCCGAACCAGAAGATGTCATGCCACGTCGGGCTTCAAGTTTGGCAGGCATACTCATCAAGCTTTCCACGGCAAAGTCCCAACGCGGAAAAACGTGCAGCCTGATCTGAAAAACAGGCTGCTGATTCCTGTGGCCATGGGGCCACGGTAAGGGTTGAGGGTTAGGTGCAGGCTGTGCACGTGTGAGGGTTTAGGGTTTGGGCTTCGGGTTCGGGGGTGTTGGCGGTCAAGGGCTGCAACATGCTGCAACAACAAATTGCGACTGTGATTCCTAGGTCCTTGAAGGCGGAGCTCGAAAGGTTGGATTGCCTCCTACCTGGCAGCCCCGCTGCATCCAGGTCAGTGCAATGCTATTCGTTGTGGAGCCATGGCAGAGGGTTCATGCAAGCACAGCAAGGCAGGCCAAACAGAACTGAGGATTGCCTAAGCTGAAGGGCAAGAGAAAGAAGAAAAGAAAGAAGAGGTCGCTTGTCAGACCAGCAAGAGGACTGGAGTCGCTGGGCATGTGTTTCCCAGACATGGAAGCCAGGAGGAGGAAAAAAGCAAAGCAAGGAACTGTGCTGCTGAGTCGGATTAGAGCGATTTGAGTCTCTAGCTGCCAGCTGGGCGTTCCCCATAAAGAACTCAGGCCGGCAGCTGCAGAAGCTGTGTTGGACCAGGCGGAGCAGGCAGAGCAGCATGAGCAGGAGGAGGACGAGGACACGACAGTCTTGCGAATTCCTGAGCGGCCTGCCCACCAAGCTTGGATCAGGAAGAGGACAATGATGCCAGGGATGACGACCTCACACCCGATGAGGACCACTTCGACAGCATCCTTTTTGCAGCGGCAGGCATCTCAGAGCGCCCGCAGATGTTAGCGATTCCGGCACCTCGCTCGACAGCAGTCCCACTCCCTCGCAGACCTAAAGGTGTCTGCATGAAAATCCGCTCAGCCCACCTGGGACTCAGGTGGTGTCAATTCCATTGTTACTTTTGTGGTGCTGTGTCCAGAGCACTCCTCCAGAACACAGCTCTCGTTAAAGCTTGTTCTACCCTTCAAGCTCCGTTCTGAGGCTTCTGGAGGTATGCAATTCTTCTGAAGCAAGGCAGGGCTGGGCATCATAGTGTCTTGCTGTGGCCATTCTGGCACCAGAAAAACACAGATCAAAAGTCCTTAACTCGGAGTATATATACCATGTGTAGAGTTTGGCAGGCTTGGGTGCACATGTATCATCTGCGATCGATATCATGCCTTTTGGTTCAAGCCTTGGCAGTTGAGCCAAAAAGGCAGGATTTGTTGCCATTAGCTCGCGGAGTCGACCCGCTTATTATGGCACATGTCTTTGATCAGGAGTCACCTGAGGTCCAGGTCCTTGCCTACGTTATCAGCCGCTTCGCTGTGCATACCGAGGCCCAGGTGTTGCACCCAGCGGCTATGCTGGATCTCAGGGCTCAGCTTCGGTTCTTGGTTTCCGAGGGTCGGAACGTGGATGCAGCCAGGCTGTGGGCATCAGCCCTCGAGATCCAACATTACCCTCCTCCCCCTCCACTGCTCGACGGATTACCTGCAGGTCTGCCACCTATCCGCACGGTCCCGTGTGTCGTCACGGACTGTGCCCGGTGCGCCCAGAGCCGTGGAGGGTTCCAGCTGCCTTTTGTGGGTACATTCACACATGCAGCAGCGATTGTCCGCCCAGGGAGTGACCCGGCTCAAGCGTGGAGTGCTTACCATGCATGCCGCTCCTATTTGTCGCCGGGCGACATCACGGCCCTTCATTCGGGCCTTTGGCCTACCGACCTGCTGCCGAACCACCTCTACGCGCTCTTTTCTCGGGTGGCAGAACAGACCCACCCTCGGGCAGCCAGCTCAGCCGAGCTCTGGATCGTTTTCCGACGGTGGCAAGCTGGGAGGAGGGTGTGGATCGAGCCCGGAGTCGAGGTCCCTTCTTGGGAGGCTGCCCGGGAGGATGAAAGATCACGGGCGCATAGGACCATCTGGCTGTGGCTTGGGGCCGTGGCTTACGGGCCGGGACTATTGCCAGCAGCCTGCCACAGCTGCGGGGTGCCAACGGTCTTCCGCTGCCGGCGGTGTGACGCAGCGGCTTGTGGAGACTGCCTGGGCCGCTGCATTCGGTGCCTCTGATGGTGGGCGATTCTGGAAGGGGCGTTCCCTTTATTATGACCGGCAGGAGCCGGCGGCCGCGGCGGAGACCGCAGGCATATTTTTATACCGGGGTGGCGACCCCCGATGCCCTAGGACTAGGGCTGCAACCAGGAGTGGACCTGGGGCTGTCTTCGGCGGTGGCGACCCGCCCGGTCTTGAGTCGCACTCTGCCGTTGCCCGGCCTTCGCGATCATCTTCCACGGCGGCTTCTCGGCTCAGGCCTCTGCTAGCAGCTGCGATGGCCGGTGTGTATGCCCAGCAGTCGCTTGAGGCGGCAGGAGATGGCGATAGCCAGCCCGGCCCGTCTTCCGGACTCTTCGGGGAGGGTACCCCGGTAGAGGTCCGAGTGGAGGCTTGGCGCCGCGCCTTTGGCCTGGCCGATGACGAGGAGTTCGCCTACGTCTTTATGTCGGCGGAAGAGGCACAGAGGCAAGCTGGAGCAGAAATCGCAGCCAGATGGCGCGAAGTCCGCGAGCGAGTGGACGAGGGCAAGGCTCTGGCTTTCGCACACGAGGCAGCCCAAGCCGGAGCGGCGGCGGCCAAACCTTCCACAAAGCCTCGCCCGCCTTTGCCGCGGCGGCGGGCAGCTGTGCCCAAGGCACCGCTGCAAGCCCGCACGCCTGTGGAGCGCGCTGCCTTGGAGACACCATTGGTCGAGGAACTCGCCGACCTTTGGGTAGATGCCCAGGTTCAGCGCCCGAGCGGTGAGCTCAACGCGGGACGCCAAGCTGAGTGGGAGAACTTTGTGAGGCGCCGTGCTGCCAAAGTGTGCAGCGAAGCGGAAGTGGCCACGATTTTCCCTCCGCGAGCTTCAGCATTTCCAGGTTGCCCGGGGCAGAGACGGGCTGGAAGAGGTGGACACCCTGGACCTGGACGCCTTTATATTCAACTCGGCCGCTCCTCATCGTGCCGTGGCGGGCTTGCGGTGGGCTGCCAAGCAAGCGGAGCTCGCCTGGAAGATTCCGGATGCACCCCGGACCGACCAGCGCCGAAAGCCTAGGGACGAGCGGCAGGCCACATTGGCCGAACCGCCGATGCTGGTCCACCTGGAGAAGGTTATTGAGGACCGGTGCATTATGGGCGACCCTCGGTGGACTGCGATGCTGGGGCAATGGATGCAGGCCTCCAGCTGCATGCGGTATGCCCACCTTCGCAGAAGCGAGGTCCTGCGCATCACGGGGTCGACCGTGCATGCCTTCTGCAACAAGGGCAAGCAGCGCCGCCTACGGCAGGGGTTTTACTTTGCCATTCCGGCCGCCTTCGCTTCTGGATGGAACTGGACCGAGCCTTGGAAAGAAGCCTTCGAGGCCCTGCCCAAAGGCCGGCGGAGCCAGTGCGGGCTATGCTTCGATGCTCGGGGCTTCTCGTGGTCCCTCAGGGAGTCTACCCTGGCCGTGCAGGCGGCTTTCGTGGCCAATCCGGAGGAGCTGACCTCCTATAGCTGGCGCCGGTTGGGCCCTTCTGTGGCTATGCTGGCGCAGCTTTCGCCGGGCGAGTCGAACGCCCTTGGGGACTGGCAAGATCGAGTCTCTGACCAGAGGAGTGCCATGCCCGTCCACTACAGTGGGTTGCGCTACAAGGAGAGCGTTCGGGTCAAGCATTTGGTGTGGGCCTACATGGGGGAGTTGCGCCCCTATCCGACGTGGGATGCGGTGCCCCGCAGGACGTCGCGGAGCACACGACTTTGGCCCAGTCCCTGTGCGACTCACAGGTCAGGGCAGACAAGGAGCGACCCGCCTTCGCCGCGCACAAGCCCAAGAAGTTTACCATGAGGTTGGCTGCCCCTCTTGCACGCAAGTCTTTGGCCGGCCCGGTGCTACCTCTGGCGAAGCTGCGGTCGAAGCGCAGGGCGGAGCCTAAAGCAGTGGCGAGCAGCTCGGCCCGGCCCAGCTCGGCTGCTGCGGAGGCACCTGGTTCCCCCATGCCGCAGAACTTCAAGGACGGCGGCCGGCTGTGCACCGGCTTCAATTTGGGTAACTGTCGGCGGCGATCCGACTGCCCTTTCCTTCACAGGTGCGCTGCCACCAAGCTCTCCACAGACAGAGTCTGCGGCGGGAAGCATGGCCCTGGACTGCCGCACCAAGAAATATGGCCTGCGTCCAGCCGACGAGACTCCAGAAGGAGGGTGGCGCCAGGTGGTGACGTGGCTCCCCCGCCTTCGCCTCCCGGAGCGTTACCTTGGGGGGCAGGATCAGGTGTGGGTCCCCGGCGCGAGTCACCGGCTCCAGCACGCCGGGTTGACACGGCAGCAGCTTCAGGCTCCACGGCGCGGGGCTCGGGCAGCTCCCCTGCCCCGAAGATCAAAGCTATGGCCAAGGTCTTCAGGACCCCGCCGGCGCCGGACCCCACAGAGGCTGAGAACCAGGCGGTCTTCGACAAGCGCCCAGTCCAGCGCCCTACCTGTATTTGGGAATCGCCGGCAGGAGGGCGTCTTTTCCTGTCCGGCTTGCCGCTGCGGGAAACCAGTGGCCAATTCCCGACGATCCATTTGCAGATTACTTGTATGGATCGAACGGGGCGGCAGAGCCCTGTGCAGCCGGAACCTGCTGTTCAACGTCTCGGCCAGGCAGTCCCGGGAGGAAGAGTGGCTCCGCATCTTCAGTGCAATTTGTGCAATCGCACGCACGCTCTTGGCGGGCCACAATGTATTACTCCACTGTATGGCGGGCCGGCGCAGAGCCGCGACTACCGGCGTCGCATGCCGGGCGGTGTTGGCAGGCGAGACCCAGGAGGAGGCGAACCAGGCGATCCTGAGGGTGAGACAGATCGAGGTGGATCGCGCTATCCAGCAAGACCGCAGCCTGGGTTCGTGGTTGGCCGGGGCCGTGCGTAACACACGTGTCCCCCCAACACCTGTGCAGCCACGCGGATATATCGCCACTGCGAGCTCGCACCTCCAGGAGGAAGGCGTTCCTATCTGCAAGCACAAGCAGGGTATTGAGAGGCGCCGGTTGGCCAACCCGCAGCGCACGACTAGCAAGCTAGAGGCCATCGGATGGGAGCGACCCATCTGCGAGGGCTGCTTTTCACGAGCATCCTCCAAGTATTTTCCGGTATAGGCACCTCGACGAAGCGAGGCTTTCGCCACGATATGCCGGTAATTCGAAGTCGACCAGTTCGCCACCAGCAAATCTATTTTGCGGGTGCCGCATAAGAGCCCGTGTGCCCGCCGTGGCTGGTACCGTATCTTAGCAAGAGGAGCGAGAAAAAGAGGGTTGCGGGCGCGGAGTGTAGGAGCAGTGGCTGTGGTGATGCAGTCGTGACTGAGTGCCTGCACCTTGTCCCTAGCCCCCACCCTCTTTTCCCTGCTTGCTGCTTGCTGCTCTCTCTTTCCCCTCTCTCTCTCTTTTCTCGGTCCGGTCAGTTGGTCCTCGCCTTGCTCGAAGGTACCGCAACCTCGGAGCTGACCGAGGGGATCGCGGAGTCTGGCGATAGGCTGGGAGTTTGACCCTCGTGCAGGCTCTTCGGGGGGTCGACCTCGACGTAGGCCCCATGTCGTCAGTTTCGCTTGTCCCTCGAGTGGAGCAGGACATTAAGGCGAGCATGGATAGCCTGCAGATGAATTTCGGTTTGGACGCCAAGGTGGTCGCAGAAGTGCTCGGCACTGGGATTCGCCACCTCGAGGAGTTTCGCTTCTTATTCGAGAACGAGGCGGCGATAGGTACCTGGGTGGGGAAGTTGGGGCTAGGGGACGCCACTATGTTGCAGACCGCCCGCCTCCGTAGGGCGTGGAAGGCAACATGCACATACTACACCCAGGCGGAGCAAGACCGCTCTAAGGTTGCCTTGGCCGACCTCGACTCGATTTTGGCAGACTCCGAACTTCGCACGCTGAAGGAAGCCTTTTGGATTCGCTATAAGTTGCGCTTTCCTGCCGAAGTGCAACCCTCCGACGCAACAGTCTCCCGCATCTCTCGGGAACTTTCCAAGAGGATGCTTTGTATATATGACGTATGGCGAGTGCGATCCCTACAATTCCAGTTAGGCACCTCACAAAAGCGGCGCAAGCTGGCTGATGGCCTCTATACCGATGAGCCTGAAGTCGACGAGGTCGTCGCTCGGGATGTGGACACATATCTTCACAAGCTCCACACGCTTATGATCGCATACGCGCTCAACGGGGTGCAGGTGATCGCGGGAGTGGACCCTGCGGGAGAGAAAGCGCTGGGCGCCAACTCTTGCCAGTTCGTCGAGGTGCCTTTGGATTGTGTGCTGGCATACTACTACCGGGCCCGTAAGGCCGCCATGCAAGTCGCTCCCGCGCAGCGGCTGAGCTGGCTCCAGCATCGGGATGCCGAGGAGCGAGCTGAGTGGGTCTCGCGGTTCCGGGAGGGGGACCCGGACGCTCGGAGCAGTTATTAAAGAGGTTATGGAAGCACGTGACGCCCACTGGTTGGCGCCAGCGCTGCCGGAGGTAGGGCCAGTCGCTCCGAAGCCCCAGCCAGTGATCACTGAGCCAACCAAGTCTTCTTTGTTCGTCCCGGGACCCATGGTGGGAGGTAAGCCCACAGCCCGTGTGATGAAAGATGGCACCAAGCTTTGCGGTGACTACCAGAAAGGGTCCTGCAAGCACGCACCTCCGTGCCCGAATGGGGCCCATCGCTGCGCCGTGGTTCTCCGGGCCGAACGCGTCTGTGGTGCGCCCAACCATGGGGCAGCGAAGTGCAAGGCCAAGGCGAAAGCGAGGAGTTCGTGATGGGGCCCTGGCCCAGCAGTGGGGGATGCTGAGCCCGGGGTCGCGGACTCCCCCTTCGCAGGGGAGTTGACCCCTTGCCTGGTGATGCTTCACCGCGAAGACATCACTCTGGGCCGGGCTTTTCAGTGCTGCGGTTGGAAAGTCTTGGCCGCCGATCGCTTGACCCAAGAGGCCGATTGCATTTGGACGGGGCTGGCCGCGCCTCCGCCTATCTCGCCGGACTCCTTCGAGCAGCTGTTGCAAGGCTGTGCCTCCAGGGGGGCTGCCGTTGTTCAGGAGGGGGTTCCTCCAGAAACAGGCTCGGCCAGCAGTCCTTCAGCAGTTTGGCTCGATCTCTGGTATGACTCCTGCGTCTTTCTCGACGTGCACAGGCATACTAGACTCCTTCGACACAACGTGGCCGAGATCCAGCAATGGCCTTCGGTTCGGTGCCACCACCGCCACCCGCCTCAGGGGAGTGACCCCTGGGGAGGGGGTCGCGAGGGTCGGCCTGTGAGCTGGTGGGCTGCTAGGTGTGGACGAGCGAAGCTCCGGGTCCATCGATGGCCGTTGGTGGAGCCGGTGGGTCGGCGCGAGCATTGGGTGGACGTTAACCCCCGATCGCGCGCCGACTGGGCAGTGGAGCCCATGGCTGTATTCCTGGGCCTACGCCCACATGATCCGGGAATGGACCGCCTGGTCCCGCTTGGGCGAGCCCTGGGCGAGGTCGAGTTACGCGACCGGTCCTTGCCGCCAGGGCATGTGTAGGTGGGGCGCGGGCACCATTCACACAGGCTGCCAGTTACCAAATGGTGTTCCCCGTACACTCCAGGGTACGACTGCTCCCCGTCCGAGTGGATGCTTCTCTTTGTCGAGCACATCGTTTGCAATTTCTGGACTTCTCTCCCCGACTTGCAGGGCGCGACCCTTGTCTGCGATTGCCCCTTGGGCTCCTTGTGTGAAAGGGATGTCCTGGCAGGCCTGGTGTGGTACCAATTGGCCTCGAGCCGGAGTGGAGGCAGCTGGCAGGGTATGCCAGCCCCGGCATGGAGTGCCGCGTGGGCCGCCTTCACCCAGATACCAGCCTCTGTCGCTCATGTTATTCCCTACTCCCCGCAGGAGTCCGTCATCACGGCTTTCCGCAGCCTGTTCCCTTCCTCGGCCTTCCGTGGCTTCGTCTTTCCTTTCATCGAGGACCTGGTGAACAGTCCTCCTTTCACTCTTTTCCCCCAGTGGTTGCGGGAACAAGGGCTTCGCTGGGATGGCGCGTTGGGCCCTTCTCTTTCTGACCCCGCCTGCAGGTTGATGCAGCGCACAGCGGAGGGCCAGCTTTCGGGGAGGGCGGCGCTTCCCCCCCCTCCTCCCCTTCGGCCTGTCCCCGGATGAGCACTTCCGGCAGGCTTTGGCTAGGGGGGACGACCCCTTGCCTACAGAACACCCTCCGGTCTTGGACCAAGACCTCCACTTTGCGGCAGCGATGACTGTCGGGTCTCTTGGCCGCCTTCGCGAGTTGAGGCGCGAGTGTGTCGGCCCGCTTCGGGAGTTGAAGCGCCGTTGGAGCCATGTGGGGGACCACCTGCGTAAGCTCCAGACTCCGGCGGTCCGGAAGGTCACGGCCCAGCGGGACCTGGGCTTGCTCAGTCTCTTTGTTGTTCTGTTGTCTTGGCCGGACACCACTCTCCCTTCACACCTTTTGTTCGGCATGCCCGCGGTCGGTACCTCTCTCCCCTGCGGAGTCTTCCCGCAGCAGGGCTTCGACACAATTCCTCTCCATCGTCTTTTCGAGAACGTGGAATCCCACAACAAAGCTGTCCAAGGATCTATTCGGCCAGGCCCACACGATGACTTTTTGTTGGAGCAATCTACCAAGGACTTCGAAGCGGGGTTTTGTTCGGCACCGTTGTCCTGGTCGGAGCTTCTTCGCCACACCAAGGGCAAACCGATTCGTTTGATACCGAGGTGCGTAATTTCTCAGGCTTCCGGGAAGCAGAGGGTGATCGACAACGCGGACCATGGAGGCCAGAGCGAGTTGAGCTCTGACTCTAACAAGTTGGTGTTGTGCTCAGCCCTCCGCCCGGCCCAGCATGTTTCCTTGGCAATGCGATGCGCCAGCCCGGCGGTCGCCCGCCGCCTGCTGGAGGAAGACCAGTGGGAAGGCGGCGGCGAAGACTGGCCGGACGCCTATCGCCATTGCCCTATGGACGAGGACCAGTCCAGGGCCTGCGTGGTGGTATGGTACCATAAGGATTGGGCCCAGCCGGCGTACCAGGTATATTCCGGCCTCCTCTTTGGGCTCCCTTTGGCAGTGACCAGCTTCAATCGGCTCAGCCGTTTCTCCGAGGCGGTGGGCCGCCGGCTCGTCTGTGTCCTGGTCTCAATGTATTTCGACGATGCGCACCTTACCGACCCCGCTTCTGCGAAGGGCTCAGCCCAGTTCGCCTTCTCCGAGGTCAACAAACTTTTGGGCTCCCCCTTCGCGGAGGCAAAGCGACAGCCGATGAGCACAGTCGGCGACTTTCTCGGGCTGGAGTGGGACTTCCGCGATGTGGGGTGTCACCACGTCGTTAGGTTCTGGGTCCGGTCCAGGCTCCAAGCCAAGGTCGAGGGCCTTTTGTTGCAGGCTGAGCAGGATAACTCCCTGCCCCCAGGCTTGGCGTCGAAGCTGTATGGCATGCTCAATTTTCTCGAACAGGGGGTGTATGGCCGGATTGGCACAGGGGGCATCGGCGCCCTCAAGGAACGCCAGTACGAGGCAGCTCGGGAGTTGACCCCAGCTATCCGCTCGTCATTCGAGGTTATCCGAGCCATCTTGGCACTGCGACCGCGTCGGTCCGTGGAGGTGCTACCCTCCCCCTGTGCCCGATTCGTCGCAGCTAGCGATGCCGCGGAGGACGAACCGCGCAAGGGCACAGGCGGTTTCCTGTTGCTCTGGCCGGGCAGCGAGCCCGGCCGCGAAGCCTTCGTGGCACGGTCGATCGGCATACATATGATGCCTTTCTCCCGGGGGAGGTTAAAATCGCGCAGCTCGAGCTTTCAATGGTCCTCTTCGCCCTTACAGCTCGGGCTTCTACTTTTCGTTCTCGTCGTGGCACATGGTATATTGACAACGTAGCCGCGCTTATGGCACTCATTCGAGGGCGTTCCGATTCTCCCGACCTCGAGCGGCTGGCACACCTCATTCATGTGGCCCTCTTCTCTCTTCAAGTTTGGGTATACTGGGAGTGGGTACCCAGTAAGTCCAACTGGTCCGACTCGATCAGTCGATTGGGTGCGTCGGACCCGTGGGCTGCTTCTCGCGGCTTCTGCCTCCACCACGCTCTTTTTCCTACCGAGGTGTGGTCTCTGCCTCTGGTGCCGGCCATGCTAGTGTTTCAGTTTCTGTAGAAGTGCTTTGGGATCAGTGCATTGGGATATCGAACCGTGTTGGTTCGGGGTGGGGCTTGCAACCCGGAGTTGACCCGGGTTTTGCTAGCCCCATTCATCCGGATGTTTTACCAAAGCATTTCCCGTAGTAACGGGTTCTACAGACTGGGACGGCACTGGCGATGTGAAAAGAGTGGTGTGTGCAGTAGCCTCTGTGATTCGATTTGCGGATGTATACCATGTGTAGAGTTTGGCAGGCTTGGGTGCACATGTATCATCTGCGATCGATATCATGCCTTTTGGTTCAAGCCTTGGCAGTTGAGCCAAAAAGGCAGGATTTGTTGCCCGCCCTCCCTCCCTTTTACTGAGACGATCCCCCGTGGGGCTATCCTCTCTCTTAGGGTGGGCAACGAGAGTGTTCTCGACTGCATTCGGAGGGGATATCGAACCGTGTTGGTTCGGGGTGGGGCTTGCAACCCGGAGTTGACCCGGGTTTTGCTAGCCCCATTCATCCGGATGTTTTACCAAAGCATTTCCCGTAGTAACGGGTTCTACAGACTGGGACGGCACTGGCGATGTGAAAAGAGTGGTGTGTGCAGTAGCCTCTGTGATTCGATTTGCGGATGTCAGTATATCAATTGCAGCATGCAGATGCAGGAGAGTGTCGCACGAAGTACGCTTTGTCAGGCGACCCTTGCGATTCGCCTTCACCAAGAACAGAATGAAACTCAACGTTTTCAACAGGGCGGCCGACCACGCAAAGCACCGCCTGCGGATCAGAGTGTTCAAAGAACATGTCCATAGGGCAGGCTGTGCTGACGCTGGACAGCCGCCTGACTTTCACCCGCAAGTGTCAGCTTGCGTTGAAACGGCGAAAGGGCGAAGCCTGGCCGCTTCGCAAACTGCCTTCGGTTCATGGCTCAAGATCTTGATGTGTTAGCAACGAGGGGCAAAGTGACTAAGTCGTAACACATGTTGGTCATGCGCTGGCTTTATTGCAGAGTCCTGTGTTTCTGCACAGTGATGCTGCTTGTCCAAGTAGCCCCACCCGGGATGTCATCTCAGCTCGTCCGCTTTTGGGCCCGGTGGAGAAAACGCCTGAGATCCTTGCCTGATTTGTCGTGTCCTTCGTTGGGTGTCCTGGCTGTTTCGCCTGCTGGCTGTCCAAAGACAGGCGACTGAAAGGCTCTTGTGCTGCAGGCCTCCGAATCCGAGAGCACCAAGAGACACCAAAGCTGAACCCGCCATATCCCGCCTCTAAAATGCCCAAGGGCCCTGATAGGCAACAAGCCTGAGCCTGCACGCATCGCCGCCAAAATGTGGCAGAGCACCAAGGTGAACAACCAGCGAGAGTCCGCCTGGTCGAAGGCACGTGCTAGTAGCTGCTAGTTTGTCTTGAAGGGAATTGGAACCTTTGGATCTTGCCAGGCACGCCACTGTGCTTTGCTCCGGTCCTACTGCTTCTACTGCCAGGCAACTCCTGCATGTGGCATCACACACCCGTAGCATCACCTATCTTCGGGATGAGACGCACCTCTCAGACGTGGTGCTGTAGCAGAAGCCGAAGTCGAGTCCACTTCAACGTTCTTGGGCTGGATGCCTGTGCGCTGCGAGGATTCGCCGAATCCTTGCTGTCGACACTGCGTGTTGCTTTCCGAAGCAACTTTGTAGGCAGGCTTTGGGGAGCTGGCAGCGGCTAGATCAATGGCTAGTAGTACGTCCGAACTTGCAAGATCACCAATCGTCCACTTGCCATGCTTCTTGCCATGCTTCACTCGTCCTTCAATGCGGCCGCGAATATGGAAGTGTAAGCTTTCGATTCCTGTCACAGCATCTGCTCCGGCTGCAGTCAGGAGAGAGTAGACTGTCGAAGGCCCCCCCAAAAAATCTCTAAGCACAACCGCAGCACTTGGTGTGATGGCATTGCTGCAGTAGACTCACGGAATTTTGGGTGATCCGCAATCTAGATCTCTGGATATCTCTGGGTCCTCAGCCACGCCCATAATTTCCCGACCTGAGCATCAAACATTCCAGGGTTTCAGGAATGTCCCGACGCGGCCATGGCATCTGCCTGATCGTGGCCGCGGTGACCTTCGCATCAGCTTGCTGTACCTCAAGCGCCATGCCTAAGCTCATTGCGCCAAAAACCTCCCCGATTTATTGAACGGCCCCCCATTAAAATGAAACCACTTGGGGGCCGATCCTCCCGAAGTCATCCCTGCCTCCTAAAACCTAATTTGCATTAGGAGGTCTGGAGCGAGAGCATCAGCAAGAGCAAACGCAAGAGCAGGAGTAAGAGCAAGAACAAAAGCAAGAGCAAGAACAAAAGCAAGAGCAAAGCGAGAGCAAGAGTAAAAGCAAAAGCAGGAGGAAAGGCAGGAGCAACAGCAAGAGCAAGAGCAGGCGCAGGAGTGAGAGCAACAGACGTAGGAAGAGCAGGAGCAAAAGCCCGCGCAGGAGCAAGAGCAAGAGCCCTCAAAAGTGACAGTAGAGTCACCAGAGATAAAGATACTCCCTAATCATAAATCACTGTCCGACTTGTTATTGGGGAGGTCCCCACCTCGCCCGGTTAATATTAGGGGGAAGGGATTACCTGTGTTTCGGTGACGATTTGAGCTGAGATTGTTAGCACGACCTGTTCACGATCACTTGCACTTGGAGCAGCGCCGCAATTTCGGATGGCCTGGCCCCACCCTTGCATCTGATTCTATTCATTCTAGAGTCGAGTCTTTTGCTTGACGTCTGCTCCACTGGCCGAAAAGACGGTACCACGTCTAGTGTCCATTCTGGACTCAGCCTGCCATTGCTACCCTTGCGATCATATACGTCAAGTCTCTCAGTGCACTCAGCACCTCTGAACTTGCTTGTGTGAGGACCATGGTCGAAAGTGTTTGCAGCCAGCGATTTCAAGGTGGTCCCTATGGAGGGTAAGGCCCGCTCTTGCACTGGTTCAGACAGCCAAACGCTCATTGGCATCAGCTGAGGGCTACGGTGTTGTGGCCGGACGGAGTGTCAAAGCTGGTGAGAAGCTCTACGAAGAGCCGCCGGCTCTCGTCGTGAACTCGGAGGTGCTGCGAGCTTCTGCGAGCTTCTGCGATTCAAGCTTCGAGCATCTTTGAGCCGAACCCATGTAAATAAAACCCGTCCTCGTCTTCACGCAAGTTGGAAGCCGCTTGCAACGGCAAGGGAGCAGGAGTAGGTGTGGGACTTCAACGGTTGACAAGCTCCCACCCTTGACCTGCTGGCATTTTGCCAGGACTCCATGCAAGTGCAGCTGTTCCAGACAGTGGCGACCGGGCGGCAGTACTGTACGTAGTCTCGTTATTGGCCATGGTGAGTCTGCTGCAACATGCTTGTCTTTCTTCGTGCTTGCTTGCCGTTGAAGATCCGTATCAGTCATTCCATCAGCTAGGCTGCGGCCATGTTCGTCGTGGTCAACATCGTGCTCGCGATTTCCGGAGCAGGTGCAGTACTGCGGACAGCCTTGTTTTCTGGATGCCGACAGCAGACGCAGCTCTGTCCAAACTGGGGCAACAGGGTGTAGCAAGCTGCTCCGGCTTTACTTTGGTGCGTGTGAATGCCACCGGCAGCTGCGTGCGCCGGTGCAGGTAAGCTACAGTGCTCCATTGTCCATCATAGTGAGTCTGCGAAGGTTGGTCAGCCGATCGGTCGAACTGTGTCACAGAAGCGCTTCGACAGCTGCCAGTCCTGTCACTGTCACTGAACGGCAAGCTGCCGGAAACTTTGCAAAACCCTGGTTAGTACCGGTGTGTGGCTGACGCGGCTGTGTTGATGCCACAAATTTCCCACTGCAGCTGCAGTGGGCCGGGAAGCCCCTGATATCGCCTCTGTGGCTGTAAATGTCCCCGTTCCCTATCGGAAGGACCTAAAAGGAGCTGCTCTGGGGCCAAGCCGTGGACCACTTGCTACCCCCCACTCCATGTGCTCGCACAGCATCTGAACATCGGTGTATTGAGGCGCGAGTCTCGAGCCGTGGTGCTCACAGACAGAGACAGGAAGGAAGACCAACAGATGTCGTGTCTTCCCTGCTGTTGTGACTTGAGTGAAGCGCGTGCTGCCGGCCCTTCCGCAGGTCTTGCAGTGCCAATTCTCCTCGGTGCTGGCGGTGTGTATCTCTGGCTCAGGCAACAGCTTTTCGAGACAAATTCGGCTACAGGGGTCGCACGTGGCAGAGAGATGCAGACAGAGCCGCAAGTGTTGTGGTTTGTAAGTTTTGCTTTTGCCAGGAATTCTGGTGATGATTTGTTGGTCCCCGATGAGCTGAAGGCGAGTCTGGAACAATCTGGAAAACTTTTGTCTGTCGACCTGCCATGATGAGTTTGATGGTGTTGGAGATTAAGATTCACAGGACGATCATGAAGGCTGATCAGCAGCAAGAGTCAGTTTCGGCAGATATGACAGCTTCTGTCATGCATACACCCTCTTGCCTGCGGCGGCCATGTGGACATGGCTGTAAGATGAGTTTAAGTACCCAAGTGCAGGGCGTGGTGCTGCGATTGCATGGCTCGTAATACAAGAACACTCACAAACGCAAGGTCTAGATGGCTTGAGGCAGGACGTGTGAGAGGTGTTGCTGGCCCAAGGAGCAATGGGAAGCTCTCCCCACCGAGAAACGTGAAGCTCTCGCGAGAGACACGGCTGCAGTGTTGAGTTGCCTCAGTTCGGCTTCGCGGTTTTGAGCTGTTGCCGCAGGGAGTGCTCCGGGCGTGGGGAGTGGGTCATCCTTGGGTCTACTGATCGCATGATGCGCCGCGCGTTTCGACAAGAAAGGCAGGTTTTGATCTGTCACTGCATGCTACGTTGCTATCTTGTTTGCGCTATTGTGGAAGCCGTTTCGAGTCAGTGGCAGATGAAGGTTTCACCCCTTCTGGTGTTCCGCGCGTTTGGGGGATTGGCGAAGCGAGTTGGAGGCTTTGAACCCTTTGGTGTTGAGAGACACAGACAGAGTCCGGGTGCAAGAACACAGACAGAGACACAGACAGAGACACAGACACAAACAGACAGACACAGACAGACAGAGACAGACACAGACACACACAGACACACAGACACACAGACACACAGACAGACAGACAGACAGACAGACAGACAGACAGACAGACAGGCAGAGACAGACAGAGACAGACAGAGACAGACAGAGACAGACAGAGACAGACAGAGACAGACAGAGACAGACAGAGACAGACAGAGACAGACAGAGACAGACAAAGACAGACAGAGACAGACAGAGACAGACAGAGACAGACAGAGACAGACAGAGACAGACAGAGACAGACAGAGACAGACAGAGACAGACAGAGACAGACAGAGACAGACAGAGACAGACAGAGACAGACAGAGACAGACAGAGACAGACAGAGACAGACAGAGACAGACAGAGACAGACAGAGACAGACAGAGACAGACAGAGACAGACAGAGACAGACAGAGACAGACAGAGACAGACAAAGACAGACAGAGACAGACAGAGACAGACAGAGACAGACAGAGACAGACAGAGACAGACAGAGACAGACAGAGACAGACAGACAGACAGACAGAGACAGACAGAGACAGACAGAGACAGACAGAGACAGACAGAGACAGACAGAGACAGACAGAGACAGACAGAGACAGACAGAGACAGACAGAGACAGACAGAGACACAGAGAGACAGAGAGACAGACAGACAGACAGAGAGACAGAGACAGACAGACAGACAGAGAGACAGACAGAGAGACAGAGAGACAGAGAGGCAGCGAACGACGTGGAGGCCACCCTGGGGGACGTGACCAACGTGGACACGCAAAGCACAGAAGAACAGGGGGACCACGACGATGCTGCTTCGGGACCACCGTCGCTGTTCGAGCCGGCGACAGAAGAGTCGGAGGCATGGCGCCCACCACTAGGGGCGCAGCAATGGCCGGACGAAGTTCCCACGTCGGCCGAAAGAGGAGAGAGTACACAGAACAGCCAGCCGGGAACAGACCCCAACGAGCCGACCGACGAGGACCTGCTGGCGGCGCTCGAAGAGTTTGAAGGCAAACAGAGACAAGAGCAACTGGGGGAAGCTGCGGGTGAAGACGCAGGGGACGAACCACTGCGAGACCTGAGCGATGGGGAGATGAGTGTCGCTAGTCACCGTAGAAGACGAATGCATGCAGTGCTGTATGATAGGCACGGGGGGTTTTGGCGTCCTGGTGAGCAACCGTGAGAGCGAGTAGCTGTGTTCAGTGTGAAAGTGTTGACGATGCCTCCCGAAGCATGCAGGGGTAGCGAGCCGAAGCAACTGCGACGAGTGTGGAGTTGTAATACCTAGAACGGGGTTTAACTACGCCGGGGCCTCAGTCTGCTGCAGTCGCGTGCTTTTTTCGGCCAGTTGTGCAGAGCTACCATCTTTTCAAGACGGGTCAGAAGGGGGACGAACGGGGCCAACACGGCACCTGAAGTGATGATGAGGCCTGGGGGGTAACTTCAGGGTTCTAAAGGGGGGATTTGCTGGTGCAAAACGGTCCCTCATCTGACATGTCGGTCTCACACCGACGGCTGACAAGACCAGTGCGCGGTCACGCGCGGGTGCAGTCCGCTGCACCTTGGCTGTGTGCAAGCAAGACAGAGAGACAGAGAGACAGAGAGACAGACAGACAGAGAGACAGACAGACAGAGAGACAGAGAGACAGAGAGACAGAGAGACAGAGAGACAGAGAGACAGAGACAGACGGACAGACGGACAGACGGACAGACGGACAGACGGACAGACGGACAGACGGACAGACGGACAGACGGA